TTTAAGTTAGACTCATAGCTGCAAGGTCTAGGATTTATTTTGCAGACTTCTCTCCATAGCTTCATGTGCTCTGCACTCCTGTGATACAGAAGCTCTAAGACTTGGGAAAGGGAAGGGAAGAAAACAGAATATGTAATCAAAAGTTCAGGGGGAATTTTGTGAAAGACCAGGGTAACCCTTCAGAGGTCAATGATACTTCTTTAGATTTATCATATAATTGAGCACAGAATTTGGCCTCTGGTGAGTGGATGTGGAGGAAGTAAGTTAGTAGAGGTTTTTCGTTAAGCGAGAACGTACATTACATCCCAACCAGTGACAAGGTAAAGAGAGGAGATAGCATCATCTCCATGGGGCTAAAACTCTTTCCATTATAGAACTCTGCCACTTCATGTTCCAACCAAAGAGTTCACTATAGAATAAGCAGTTCAGGTCTAACTTGCAGTGGTGATGTTCATGTGATCTAGGAATGCCTTATGGCTGCTGTATAGATACCATTGTCTGGGCTGGCCCTCTGCATAAGAAAGAAACCAATGAGAACCCTTCTTCCACCCCTAGGTTAGGGACAGAAATTACACATAAACCGGTATAAGTCATTGGAAACTGATTTAATTCTGTAACAGAAATTCAGTGCACATAAACTGCTTTCAAAATGGCCAAAACCAGTTTAAGATAAACTTGGATGGATGTGGTATCAGACTTAACTGATTTAGGTTAAATGTTTACTGAACTTCTGTCCCAGATCCCCTCCACATTCAAGTTAACTCACAGTCCTCCAGCATCCCAGGATGCTTTGCATCTCCCCCACAATCCCCACCCCCCCCCGCCCAGGGCGGGTGGGCTAGCCTTGGTCCAAGCTGTTTGCTCCACTTGGGCAGGGCAGGCATGCTCTAGCATCCCCTGGCTGCTGGTCTGGGCCACTGCAGCATATTGCTGCATTTCTGGAATCCAAGGTGAATGTCTATTCACTTGCTTATCAGTTCAATCTGCACAGCTTAAATTAACCTGCAAAGACTGAATTGGTTCAGTTTCTGGCTTTTTGACTGTCTATACTTAGCCAGTGGCTAGGAATTAGCATTAAAAAAAGGAAGAGAAGAAACAGCTTGTTTGCTTTCATAAATTACCAACTTGCAGAGAAGCAGGAGAGAGAGAAAAATTCCTCCTCTATGAACCAACACGGCAGAGTGTAGCTATAAAATTTAAAATAGACATTCTGTCATAAATAAATAGAAGTGACACTATGTCCTGGAGTTTTCCTGCAACAAAAACAGGGTGGTACTGTTTTGCAATAATTAAATGCTGTTATATGCTGATGCAATGCCATGACTGCACTACAAAGTTAGCATGTTGTGATGTTATTATTTTGTGGCTTTCACCAAATCTACTCCTCTCCTGCCTTTGAAGACCCTCTTTTTTAGGATCAATCTATGTTTTATGGAAAGTATGGGAAAAAGATTCTCCTTGCACTTTCCTATTTAACTTGGTTCCTGTGTTGCTGTGGTTCTCAAGCTTTTTTGTACCAGGACCCATTTGTAAACATCGATGGCCAGTCCTGACCCAGTGTCCCTCTCTCCTGACCCACTTCCCCCTGCCCCCAGCCCCACAGTGTATGACGGGCAGGGAGCAGCGGGTGTGGGGCAGGGGGGGCCCAAGCAGCTCCTCACAGGCTGGAACTCTGTCAGCCTGCAAGGAAAAGCCACGGTCTCCCACATTTTTCTCCTTTAAAGGAGAATCTGTTTTTAAAGTTTGTTGATCCAATTCTAAAATTTGTTCATGACCCTTTCATATATTCTTGTGACCCACTTTTGGGTCACAACCCAGAGGTTGCAAAATGCTGCTTTATAGTGAGCTAGAAAATGATGAGGAGAGAGAACAGAATTTTTAAACGGTTTAAAGGCTATTTCAACTCTTTTAATGGGGATTTTAAATTACTGTTAACATCTATGATTTGGAAGGTATTTTGCAATACATTCTACAAAGCTGTCCCTTTTACATTTAACCTTTTCCACTATGCAAATATTGATATTTTTCTCTGTGTTCCTAATGCAATAGTTTGAGTCAATATGGCTCCTTTTTGTGTAAGAGTAAACTCCTCTGTTTGTGTAAGAGCACTAGTAATCATGTCTCAGCAGGGATATGCATTAGGGGTGTGTGAAATGGGCCATTTTTTATTTGGATTTGTCCTGAATTGGGGACAGTGATTCGATTCATTGATTCGGATCACTGCCCCTGATTCAATTCAGCTGAATCTGAATCTGAAGATTCGATGCTGATTCGGAGAATCCGCAATTTGGCCACAGACACAGCGTGAAATGTTTTTTCTACATACCTCAAGGTACCATGTGCGGCTTGTGAATGCTGCAATGGTGGGGGGGATGGAGCATCCCACAGGAGCGTGGGGGGTCCCCCGTGTGCTCAGCGGCAAACCCGGAAGTGGACTGTAAGTACTTCCGGTCCACCTCCAGGTCTTCCAGGGAGCACAAGGTGGGGGGGGGGCCTGCTTCCCCCTGGCTTGGTGACTGGCCACGGGGGGGACTCTAGGTACCCCACCCAGACCCAGGAGGCACCAATCGCTGAGCCAGAAGATGTGGGGGGGGGGGGCCCCATGCAGTCCCTGTGGACCCAGAAGTGAACTGGAAGTGCTTCTGGCCCCCTTCCAGGTCTGCTGCCGAGCGAGCTGTGGAGCTCCCAGCACTCCTGTGGAACGCTTCATCTGCCCCAGCATCGCAGCATTCACAAGCTGCCTGCTACCTTGAGGTATGTAGAAAAAACACTTAAAGCTGTGTCTATGTCTGAATCTCCGAATCTTTCTGAATCTCTCTGAATCGATTCAAAGGGTTCTGATTTGATTCAGAGAGATTAAAGGGTCCCCTGATTTGATTCGGATTCAAAGATTCGGCCACCGAATCAGGTCAAATCTCCGCTGACTCAAATCAGAGACTGAAGCTTCGCACAGCCCTAATATGCATATATATGACAGCCACCATCTTAGCCAACACTGGGATTGATCCAGGGACCTCTAGAAACTGAAAGCCTAAGATTCAAGAACTTGAGCCAAACACTATACTTGGGACAATAACAGAGACATCCTTTGCAGATCAGAGAGAGTACATAAAACACAATAACCCATGTGAAAAGAATGGTTTTAGTTCATTGTTTGCAAAAGGGCAAGAGGGAATGAACATGCATTATTTTGAGTTACACAAAAATATTCACTAAAAAGTTTTTCAGAATGCACTTGGGAAAAAAAAAGACCCTCAGAAAACACATCCCCAGTGTGACTCATATTCAAAATCAAAATCAGCTATTTCAACTAAATGAGGTATACATTCTGCTTAACAAACTGAGAATATCTACAACACTCCTAACCAGACCTTTCATACAGTGTTAGTATGGGTTCAGCTGTCCCCTAAATTATGGGACAATACCATTTCAAAATTCAGGAGTCAAATAAATTTCATTCCTGTTAAAAGGAATATATATTCAGGTATAAATACTTTCAAGACATTGTCTGAATCCCTCAGATAGTCAACTGGAAATAAAGTAATATCTTTAATTCAGCTGCGGGCTAAGAATTTGTGTCAGGAACCCCCTACTTTACAGAGAGCTGTCATCCACTTATGCCTCACTATGAGGTACTGTGTTATATAAACCAACATCCAAAAAAGACATTGCTGCTTTCTTTGAAAACACTGTTCTTTTTTGGACTATTATTATCTTATAGATTTTTCTTAAAAGTAACCTGCCATAAGAAAGGCAGATATCATCATACATGTTGATGGTTGGAATGTTAGTAGTGACATGTCTACTAGAATAGTGAGGTTACTGTAAACTTTTCTGATCTATAAGGCATATCTTCTTCTTAATATTCCCATTCTTACACAACATCATCTAATACTAATCCAGTGTATTGGTACCTAGGGAGTCTTCATGTTGCAGTTCTTGGATATTACTAGTTAAGATTTTCACAGCCAGCTTGCAGATACACTATTTCAAGCACTGCATCATACTGGTCTGTCTTTACTTCTGCTTTGTTCTATGAAAATAATATTATCCTGGCTGAATTTTTTTAAAGGGCTTTGGATAAGAGGAAAAAAAATGATAGAACACTGTAAGTAGGAAACATGCATGTCTGTTAGAAAACCCAAGTTTCTCCTGTTGCCCAGTTTTAGAAGTATGGCTTTGATTTATGGATCAAAATTGTTCATTTATTATTTTATCTATACTGCCTTGGGCAATTTTGACAGTTAAAATTTAGTTTTATTGACCAATGCAGTCAGTTTAGCCACAAGGGGACTAGTGTACACACAGCCTGCTGCACTCAAGAAACTATGATTTGATTCCATGACCAAGTTAGATTGGGAATCGTAACCAATATAACAATAAGTTCCAAATCTCAATGCTCAAGGCAAAATGCTTGCTGTAAAACACAATCAGTCTTTAAGAAAGGGGGCTGGAAGGGAAGGATCCTGGACAAAAGCCTCTAAGCATTGTTTACTATAGGTGATATATACCTCTAATACCTTTGTCAGAAATAGATACAAAAGAGTGTGGAGAAGACCACCTTTAACAGCTGTGTACAAAAGATATAGGTCAAACAGGAAAATAAAAGTATAAAATAGAGTGCAAAGTATGCTTTAAAAGCCAGGGCTAGCCAAAATCTGAGACACTGTCTCCAAGTTCAGTTTTTTTCTTAAATCAGATTATATTTATATGTAATACTGTATATAATTATATAAAATATATATGTATGTTTGTTCTAGTATGAAAGCTTAGCAAGTTTACCTGGAAAACTTACTGGAATGATTTTAAGCCAGATTTAATTTCAGCCTATTCCATTACAAAATTTGCATCTTCTGCAATCTCAATTTATTGCTCCATTGTGAAGCCCCTTGTGATACATAAACAAATCTCTGAAGGGAAACAAATCAATAAAGTGTCTAATTTGATTAACCATGTTTTTAAATTCATCAAGACAACTGTACAAAAAATAAACCACTTACTTGTCAGTATTTTCCACGTCTTCTTTTCATCATCATAATACTGAACCAAATTGCTGGGTAGCCGGTCAGGTCCGGGAGGCAATCCTCCAACCAATAACAGCATTTTCTTATTGGAGCGAATTCTTCACCCAAAACAAGAAAAAAGATGAACAACCACATTACTGTAGAGTATTTTTAGTGGCAACAAAATCATAACCATCAAAAAAGAATGTTCACTGCTTGCAGTTTTCTATTGCATTTTTTGGTATTTCTTTCCCCAATCATGTCTCAACACATTTTTGAACCAAGCAGAAAAATGATCAGAAAAGCTGCATATTCCTCTACTCATGGAATAATAAGCTTCCTTTATGCAATTTGTTAGAGGTTCATTCTAAAATGACCTTTTTCTTATATTATCCCTTTAAATCATCACTCTTTACAGCTGAATACACATGAAATGCTCTGGAGTTGTACTAAGGTTAAGCATTAAAGTTGCATGTCAAAAATCGTATTAGTCAAAATCATTATTATAAGCCATTCTACACTCAAAGAACCTTGAAAAAATTAAGGTTATGCAGAGAGTTTGTGAGCCAACTCTTTAATCACATTCGGAACTTCAGATATAGAGTTTAGTACAATTAGTAGCACCAGGCGAATGGTTATGGGTTAAACGCCGCTTACAAGTACTTTTTTGTTTGTTTAATTTAGTCCAGACTCCTGCTTTCCCATTCTCCCACAGCCCCCCTTCTCTTTGCTCTCCCCCTGTGCACCACTGGCTATAGCAACACCAATTGGTAAAAATGAGACTGTGATGTTGTTGTGAGCCTCCCCAGAGTGGAGCCCTGCCAATGCTTGCCACTGATCCAGCGGCATGAACCTGCTCAACTGTGCAAAGTCACTCTAATTCCCTCCCTCTGTTTTTCTACCTTCTCCCCCAGGGGGCAACCACTGAAAGGAGTGACTACCCACCCATCAAGAGCTGGCAATTCGCTGCTATTAACCGTGACCGTGATTCCCAATCTGCCTGGCAGTTCTTAAGAACAGGACTGCAATGTCTCATATGCAGTAAAAGCGGTTATATGCACCCTGGCCTCCAACACTATACCTGATGAATGTACATTTCTTTGCAACTTTAATGGATTTGGCACAATTGTAAGTGAAGTGAGGAGGGGAGGTCCAGACCCCCAGATGAGTCCTGATGCTTTAATAGTCACTTTACATATAATTGAACCTCTATCAGTTACACTAAGCCTGAGAGTGATAAAATGGCAATAAAGAATCATGATAAAAGAATTCATTTGAAATGTCATGGTGACGTTGCATTTAAAAATACGCACTTAATATCCATAGGGAGACTCATGTTTGAGGTACTACATTCTTGCCAGATACCACAATTTTGCTGATCAGAATAGCATTATTAGAGCTAATTAATATATTGTTAAAGGACATTTTGGGTTAAGAAAGCTATAGAAAACCATTAATCAAGTTTCATCATCACTGAATTTTCAACAGCAGGGTAAAATTGCTTCATCGAAACTCTTATTATTAGTAATACACTCCAGTAGAGGGAGCTTTATCACTCAGGTCCACAGACTGTTTCTTTTAAATATAGCTTATCTTATTATCTAGAAAGTGTGTCTGGCTGACAGACTAATTTACATTTATATTAGTATTGCACCCCCTTTTAAAGAGTTGTGCAAAATAAACTCAAGTTAAGTTTTGATTTGTTTTAGTATTGATTGCCTTTAGATATGTGCCATCTCAATTAACGTAATCAGAGAAACAGCAAACAATGGGAGATTCCAGCCATATTAAGCGTAGAAATCAAACCCTTTGGAATAGTATTGTTAGATGATGTAACACAGGATACAACTACAGATCAAGATATCTGGGAAACAAGACAACATCTGTCAGAAAGATGGAGAGGGAATGCTGTAACAAATGACCTTACTTATTTTTAAATGAATTTAGGGCTTATGTAAGGGACTGAATTGACAGCACAGGAAATGGAAGCCCTCACTTTATGTACAGAACTTACACATCATGGGCAGTGACAGTGTAATATTTTCCCACGCTGTCCTATCAATGTACTTCACCCCTCATTTGGAGGGAGCACCTGCAATCAGTCAGTCCTTCTGACAATTCAGCCTTTGGCCCATAGACTGAAACTACTACTTATGGTCAAATAATGGCTTTTACTTTCTTGCTACACCATATCTGCTTGTGAGATCAGAGACAGGCTCACGATCCTTGCCAGCATGGACTGGATTCAAACTATGACCTAGCTGTGAAAGCTTTCATATACATTATATATTCCTTGAGACGTTCAGTCTCTTCAAGTAAAGCCTTTTAATGAGAGGACAGCAGACTGAAACTATGCAACTTGGGTATATGATAAACTATTTTTGTATGAGTTAGGGATAACTGCACGTGTAACAAGTGGCAAGGCAAAGGGGAGACCTAAGTCAGTTATGCATGGTCATCCTTAGAAATAGAAAATAAATTGTTTATTACAATATTTTTGTGTTGTATGTCACATCACAGTCAATTCTACTTGTAAAATGTTGAATGTCTTTGTAAGGTTTAGTTGATAAAAGCTTATTTCAATTTTCAACTTTCATCTCTGATATTCCCTTCTAACCTTACAAGCACTGTGAGAAACCAGTGAACAAACATGGCTCAGTATTTAAGGTACAGAACGAAATGGAAGGCTTAACTCTGAATTTCTAGACATTAGCTGCATGCCATCTACCCTTAATAGTATTAAAATACAACCCAATTTGTAAACATGCAGTATTTTGAGAAGGGAGTGAGACAGCTTTAAAAGAAAACTAAAAGCTATTTTAGTCAGTGGGGTAATTATAAGTAAGAGGTTTTGGGGGTTTTGTTCTGTTTTTATAAAAGTTTAATGTGAACTCAGCAGCCATAATACTTTCTAGGGAAAGCATTTGCAGTTCGTAGCTAATTAACTATACGTGTTTTTGTCTAAAATATGTCATGTGTATTTGATTTGCATTCAGAACCATTCCACACCACTGTATATTTTTCTGTTTAAAATATGATTTATTTCCTGGTCTTTAGATTTTTTCCCTTTACTATACTGTTGCATGTTTGGTGATCTTATATTACCATGTGAAATACTTGACTTTTATATTCCGTATTTCGTAGCACAGTATATGACACAGTGCTAAGACCATGAATCACATTCATATTAATATGGCTTATTTAATCTCATGTTCAGTTAATACTATGAAGCTCCAAACTGTACAGAATGCATACTGGAGTAGTAAAAGCTTATTGGAAAAGCAGTCAGAGCTCAGGTACTCTGCATTTTTTTTGCTGTAATGCTTTTTAAGACTGGTCTCTAAGAAACCTAGTCTTCCTTGATGTACATAGGTAATTCCTGTTGTTATTAATAGTCTGCATGTACGCAACTTTTATCTGCAGATACCTAAAACACTTACTAAACTTTAAGTCTCAGAGCACCATGCAGAATGTGGGTTTTACTTTGTTTATTTACAGGTATATAGACTGAGGTAAAGTTATTCAAGGTCAAAATGTTCAGACTTCAATGTCTCACGTCAGGGACATGAACCTACATATTTAAGTACAGTGGTACTCAAACTTCTGCCTGAGGGCCCCATCAATGGCACAAGGCCAGATCCTGTGGGCAGGGTCAGTTCATGGGCTAAACCCAGCATGGGGCTGGTGTGTGGGATCAGATTAATGCTGACCCAGCCTCACATACCAGATGCAGCTGTGGAGCAGACTGGCATGATTTGGCACACAAGTCCATGTCATCTGGCCTGCAGAGCTTCCCAAGGGCCTGGAAATTTGGCAGCGGGATAGTGGTGGCACATCTTCCAGAGCCACTTCCAGAGCTGCAGCAATTAACACTGCCACTGCTACCTTGGTGCCAAATTTCTGGACCTGTAAGGAGCTCTGTGGGTTGGATGACCAGGGCCTTACACTGGACTACACTGGACTCAGCCCCTGGGTCAGAAGTTGAGCAGCACTGCTGAATACCATCAAATCCTACTAACTTCATAGGAAATTGTGAGCCTTCAGCATCTTTGAGAATCAGGCCAGGAATTTAGGAATCTAAGCCAACTTTAAGAATTCAGGTTGTTGATTTCAGTGTAAGTGATTTGCTCATCATGCACTGAGTTAGTAGAAGACACGAACAGAGTCCAGCAATCTGGACACACAGAAATTCTGCCACCATGGCATCTTAATGTTAAAGTTGTTCTTGCTGATTTACATTTTCTGATTAACATATCCATCAGCCTGGCACTACCTGGCTTTCCTCATCCCTATAGTTAGTGGTGAAAGTTCAGAATTCTCTCTACTGAAGAAGAGAGAAAAGCTCAACCTATTCCAGGTTTACATCCAGCTGAAAGTTTCCATATAACAAAATGCCATAATCCAAACTGAAATTGAAAGAACAAACTGGAGAACCAAGAATATGTCAGTCTAAAAACTCTACAAGTTCTGAGTATAGTGTTAAAAGTATGACAGCATACTGCATTTTATGCATCATCAGTCTTGGTGGTTGTATTAAATCAAAAAACATAAATTAGTAGCTAAAAAGTCTAGCCCCAATTCAGCAAAACATTTAAGCCTCTGACTTACTCTACATACATACTTAAATTCTACCAAGGTCACAGAAATGCTTGAAGTAGGACCTCTGCAGGCCATTATAGCATATACATTAAAAAAGATAATCTCTAACAACTGGTGGAATGAAAAAATAATTTTAAACATAAATAGTGAGAGTAATTTAAGAACTACCTTTAATCCAAGGAAAGTTACTATATAGATTTTTTCAAAGCTAACATCCTTATGTTGACACTCATTTCACAGGTAACTATGACTAAGATCAAATTTAACAAACAGAACAAAACAGAATACAGAGTTTCATTTTCAGGTTAAGTAAAGGTTTTGAAGACCCAATTCAAGTTTCAGTTTGGACACAACTTTTGAGTTTTTATTAGATTAAATTCTTTGATTAATTTAGGGATGTACTTGGTAGCCATGTTGGTCTGAGACAAAACATCTGTAGTTAGCACTACAGATGAAAGGGACTTGGGGGTCATGACTGACCACAAGATGAACATGAGCCTCCAATGTGAGGCTGTGGCTA